AAAAACAGCTTACTATGACAGCAATTGATATGACAGTGGCGGCGGCACGGAGGGGGGGGGGGCAGAGGGGCGGTCGCCCCCTCGAAAACAATGTTGCAGGGGCGTCGCCTCCTCAAATATCAAGCAGGAAACTGAATAGTGATTTCAGAGGGTCTAGATTTCAAATGTTTTAAGGGGGAATATGTCCCTTGATCCCTCTGTAAGCTCGCGATGGGTGATGAGCATATCTCGACCTTCTATGCAACGTTTCGTGCCGCCGCCTCTGTATAATGATATTGGAAATTAAACTGATGATATGGAACTACAATAACCCAAGAAAGTATCATGAACTTAAGGTGTTATGCTAGACTGTCGTCAGTCGGTCGTACCTAATATTAATCTGTTATTATTAATAAATATTGTGTATAAACGTAATAGGCGTGAATAAATTGCGAACGCCGGGACAGGAAGTATGGAGTGCCGTTAGGCACGACCGACTGTCCGGTGCTGCAATTCACTGGTAAGATTTCTTACCAGATCCGGGTACCTTCATATGCAAATGAATAGTCGCGAAGATGTCTATCGCGAACTTGTGGCCAATCGTGAAAAGTGTCAGGGGTCGCTGGCTACACTGATCACCCACGAAGTTACGCGAAGTTTGTTTTGACTGTACTATACGCGATCGCGACACTTTCTACAACAGTTGTTGAAATCACAAACAAATCTTGAAGAATGCATTACAAAAGTGCTCGAACGTTTAGACTACCATGATATGTCTTACAAAGAATACCAGCGAGACACTATCGTCTGCGTGTCGTGTTGACATTAGTCTTGTCAAACAGAAATTGTTTCGAAAGTTTCAGTTCTCATTCTCTTAGACGAAAATGCCTACGACCTTTCCAATAACTTTCGCTTAGTTTGTTGAAATTTCTTCAAGAACTCATCCATTGATCCATGTTTATATGCAGAGTTGACGCTCTCAGTCCACATTTTCGGCACGCATACGAACTGGCAAGATGTAGATCGATCGTCTCTGCCACAACAAATTTGCATTTCGTAGTTCAGTCAATCCCGTGAAACAGTCTCTTCCGGTTTTCTATATTTTCTATTTGACAGCCACAGACAATGCACAAACAATGGTTCTAGGCGATTTAATAGTTTTCTTTGCTATTTTGGTAGGAGCATGGTTAGTACCTTCCATGGTAGGAGTGACTGTATTCATCGTGTTCATAACGTGAACAACCAACGCATTCGGGGGGGGGGGGTCATTTAGAATAAATTTGCATACATTATGTTAACATAATTTATTTCGTGACGTCAGCATCAACTATGAATTATTCATATCAACTAGAAACCTGCAGACGGGGAAGTCTCTGGGGACTAAAGTCCCTCGCGTGAAATGGTTCGCATTTACCATCGATCGCCTTCGGCGTTCAAATGTCTAGGGAACATTACACTAAGCCAGAGTACTGTGGACGGTCTAGTGTCATGCATAAAGAATGTTAATAATGAGTCGTCGTAGCGCATGTAAATCTACACGCGTTGTATACGTCGCTATGAGTCTCACATCAAACATGACGCGGCGCGACGATAACCGTCTTTTAACCTACTCGGAATTTTAACATACACCCAGCAAAAATAACTGTACTTGAAGAAAATCGCCCAGCGTCAAACTTAGGGAGGCAAACCCTGTTTAATTGTCACGAGTGTCTTTCCAACGAAACGAAACCTTCGAAGACGATATTAAGCTTGAAAATACTCCCATGGGCGTTCATTATGTGTTTGTGATGGGTTTAGTAGCCATAATTGCGTCGCAAAGAGATGCCGATCTCTTCAGCATGATGTTCACAAAACCATGTTTATCAAGTAGCTCGCGATATTCTTCAAACGATCGGCATTTGCTTCCAACGGATATCAGTGAAACTAAAGAGAACATCAACGAATGTATTTGTGTGGGCTTCTCATCGCCTGGAACCGGTTCCAATATCAGAACAGCGCCACCAGGTTGGAGGGCTTCAAAAATTCTATTAAGGACATTTGCAAATAAATCTCCAGGCCAAATATTTACTGTGTTGGACAGGATAAATAAATCCACTCTTGGAAGAGGGTCGCGTAGTGGATCGCCCCCTTGGAAACAGACGGACGATTTAGTCCTCATAGACCCCTGGTTACGGAACTTTTCAACGACTTCGACAACAGCTGGTAGATCATACACTACGAACTGCATGCTCGGGTAGGTATCTGCTAGTGAGTATGCTATCACCCCAGTACCCCCACCGAAATCACAAGCTAAACGATGTGAATTCAGTTCGAACAACTGTTGAGCCGGATCGCAGACGAACACTTTTCTGAATGAATGCATGGCCATTATGAAACCCTCGCATTTTTCACGGTCGATGACGAGCATTTCGGAAAGAAATACTGATTCTCCGAACGTCCGTTCAACCTGAGATTTTCCTTCGCGAATGGCGGACGTTAGGTATCGGGCTAACTGGAATATCATCTGATCTGTAAGCTCCACTACAGGGATGAGCGAATAAGGACTTGACGATGTCAGGTATTTGCAAGACAACTCACTGTTTGTGTAACCATCGTTGGGAGAAGCAGAGTCTTCTTGTACTCCTTTCTGTACATAGCCCATCAGTACAAGCATATTCAGTAGGTCCTGGGTGGCCGAGAAGTCGGTTTCCATAACTTGACTAATCTCCTCAGCTGTCTGCTTTCCGAATGCTAAAATATCGAACACTTTCATATTACAAGCTGAGATCAAAGCTCGTGTGTAAACATATCCATGTATATGCTGAAAAATACCCACTGCCTGGTGCGTCATGGTGCTCGTCGATAAGTGGCCTTACTCAACACGTTTCGTTTACTCGATGTCTTGTTCGAATGTACGTTCTTGGAGTTCGCATTCCTCCCTAAAATGCTCGTATAACTGGTTCACAGTACAAATAATACTCCCCAAGTTAGCTGTAATTTCAACGCAATCATAAATCAGACCATCACCTAGTTGGCAAAAGACTCGTATTTGCAAATCCATTTTAGTACTAAATCACCTTCTCGCCAAATAATAGTGTGGTCGCAACATGACTAATTCCCAAATTGCTGGTGAAATGATGCCTCTATTCAAAATATTATGTCGTTGTATCGAGGTTCTATCGATGAAAACGAATTAAATGACAATCAATAAGCTTGACCTGTTTGCAGTTTCTTTTAAATAAATTGTTGGTTGATCGAGTCTCATAGTGTAATTACTGTCGCTTCTACTACTCATTTGTCATTTATCATCCCGGGGATATATCCGAATAAACTATAGTTTCATTAAATTAGTTCTCGTTTCTGTCTTCTTCCTGTGAAATATATTACTAGAGTCGTGTTCTGGGTTGATCACATATTTGCGGAGGTTGGTCTCGTCATTTCAGTCATGGGTTAGGGTTAACTCCCACTGGCATTATGTATGATATGCGATATCAAAGGTACGTTTCTATGATAATAAATTTGTAACGCCATTTGTATCTTTCAATCTAAGCTCTACCCTGTTTGACAAACCCGATTTAATTCAAACTGTGTATGCAGACAGAATACACATCTCGACAACGTAATAGTTTGTGTTAGATATAACTAGCGGCAACTTCACGTTGTATTTATACTCACGAGATCCGTTATTTAGCATATCATGTACAAGTATCAACCGAGGCTCGGAAACCGTAACAATCGAATATTGTGTTAGAAAACTGGGATCGGAAAGCGCATAGGTTATTATATAGCAAACTACGTCTATATTATTATTATTATTTAATTTACCGACAAACTCCACCGATTTTGTTGTCTTTAGTAGCTCCAAGGTAATAAAATTCTATGATGTAATGCCAATTCAATGGGCACGGTGACTATGGCAACGTTAACCGTAGATATACCGGAAGCGGTGCAATCATCAAATGACCACGCCCTCCCATGATTTATAGGTACATAAAACACCTACGTTTAAATGTACATGTCTCCATTACGTGCAAAACGACACGCATTTATCTCGCATTACTTTCCTTTAAGCATATTTCCTGTTCTACCTAATGAGTTATGTCTTTTATTATTATAACATTTCACGGCAATGAAACACACTTCATAAAAACACGACTAGCCTCGTAATCAGTATCGGAATTCTGGTGGATTTTCAACAAATATGTGAGTTATTGGGTTACATGTCATACATGATCACACAATACACGAGTGCAATGTAATATGCTAAGATCCAGGTCATTCTGAGAGTTGAATCACGTGATTAATCCAACATCCCAGTTGTTATTGATTGATAGTCTGCGCGGCAGCCGGCACCCAATGCATTTTTCAATTAGTGGCTGAATATGCCATTGATAGCGTTCGTGCGGAGCGTTCAAACCGGAAATCAGCTTCCCACATATTTTTCGCCCATTTTTTTTCAAATACAGTATATTCATTTTGTTTGAGAATTTTAGTAGCACATAGACGATTTCATATATATATAGATATATATATATTATATACCTGCCTCTGGTTTCCTGATAAGTTCACATACAAGTTAGTAAGACATTCATTTTTTATTAAGTTCGTTTTTCACTGCAGTGATTACATACGTAAACAATGTCGTAGTACATAGGTATACACATATATAACAGTATAAACTCATGTAGGGGGTTCTCTCATTTAAAAGCTGGTGGCATATATTGAAAAACCAATGACGGTTGTATGTTATGAGGTTATTACGAGGATACCAGGTATTCTAGGTATCCTCGTAATAACCTTATTATTAAACAAAATTTTTTTCCAAGGATACATCATGGGAATGCCTTACGGCGTTACGATGACAGATGTATAATAATATAATATACTCAGGGATGACCAAAACATCCCTCTGTTTTCGAATGGGAAATCTCTAAGTAAGGCAAGTACATGGACGATGTACATCAGCGCTTCTAGTCAATCTTTTTCCAAATTTTTTCACTAAGAAGTCCGTGTCATGTTGATTTGATCATACAGTTCAGGTCACCTCGGGCTGTCCTTCACCTAACACATGACACGTATAACTCTGCTTACAATATGGATTTATTCCCACATTACCCATATGCACCTGCTGGAGAGTAGGTTTCACATTGTTTCAGCTCAAGTCAAAATGCATCGATTGTGAGATCGCATTACAGTAAGAGCTTTGAGAAAATTGATAAAAAATGCATATTGCGCGCTGTTTTTCACGGGCACGTAATTATGGTCCTAAAGTACTAGTACTTATATTCCTTTAATTCCCAGCAGCTGTTTCTAGATATCTGTATTCCACGGTAATTATCTCTCCAGTGAATATTAGTATAATCCCAGCAACTACGTTCTCCACCATCAATATTCCTTCACCTGTTTCCAGTTACCTATATTCCCTGGTGTCTATGTTCCCTAGTACTTATATTGGCCAACACCTGTTTTCAGTTACCTATATTCCCTGGTGTCTATATACCCTAGTACTTATATTGGCCAACACCTGTTTCCAATGATTCTTTATATCCCTTTAATACTTGCATCTTTCAAACTTTCATTCAACTATTGATCACAGTTTCTGATTTTATTGAATTATTTACCAGTACCAAGTAACTCCAATTGATAAATTACTTGCAAAATGTAGTCCAAATCCTTCATGAGATCAATTTAATGAAATACATTATGCAAACTATATAATTTACATAAGTAAAATAAACAGATTTTACTCAAACTGAAAAAGTTTAGTAGTGAAATTTGTATAGTTATAGTTCTAGAACATGGTCATACATTCATTTCTACTAGTTCAACACCTATAACATGCTATTGCCTGTCTCTGCTTTCTTGCTGTTAGCATTAGGTAATAGTACATTACATTATACAGCATGATTTTACACATTGCTCTTAAACACAGCTCGCAACAATTAGGTTTGACACAATGACTTTACTTTATCGTTACTTTCTCTCACTTAGTCCAAAAACAGTTTTTGCTTTTTATCACCGCACGCGCTGTTTTATTGTTGCAATTATGCATACCAACAAAGTGTGCCACATACGGTAGAAATGGTAAAAAATTTTTCTCTGTTTTTTTATTATTCAATTCAATCTTTAAGGTGATCGTTATCTTGTTGACGTCATCACAGCGCGTCGTGTAACGTGTTCAGCCTCACGGCCGTTTATGTTAGACCAACAATTTGGGTAACTGCGAAATATTAATGTAAACTATGATAACAGGAATAAGTATAGGAAACAGCACGGGACAGGGGGAGCATAGCGCGAAACAACTTTTCGATGTCACTTTGTGTTAGTTATTTAGGCTATATCTGCTTTAAGTTAACATCAGCACTGACCATACAGAAGCCAGGACCTCGCCTGCGTCACGACTTCAATGTTTCTTTTGTTTGGTTTTTTGCATTTGGTTAGAAATATATATATAGTGTTTTATTTCACAAAGTTTCGCTATTACTATTTATGCACAACCTTAGAGATCTTGCTAATCATTCCAAAGGGAGAAGCTTTGTGCCAGTTTTCTATATTTTAAAATCGCTTTTTTAGTATGTTCTCTATTCACAGAGCCCCAACTTAAATTTGAACAGTCTATAACTAAGACTGTCTGAGTAACGAAAAAAGTGCCCACGAACATATACCTTATAATAACTCCACCCTCTCAATAACAGTGAAAATTTTAGGCCAGCTGATTTAAAGTTTGCAGTGGGGAATTATGGACGGTCACACCATTTGTTTGTCACTCAATAATGCTAGAAAACTGAAACGCTGTCGACGGTTGGCCACTCTCGCTGTCAATCACGATGTATGTGAGGAAAACCTTAAAACCAGGCTAAAAAACTACTTTCTGTCGTTAAACTTCATAGTTGCTGTCGACATAGGAAGTAAAGTAAGTAAATAACACCGAATAAACGGCAAGGTAAAGACTATGTCTAATTATAGTAAATACGTACTGCGTGCGTGACTCGAACCGGCGCTCGCGTACGGCACCTAATCGCCTAGCTTCACGCCACTACACGTCTTCCCCTCGGCCACCGGGCATCCCCCAAAAAGGATGCTTAATAACCGAGCTTACGTGCAGAGAACATGAAACCCGTCCACGCGATACGCGCCACACAGCGTGGCCAGAATGCGGCAAAGGCCTT